GTCCCAGGAGATTGTGGGTGTGGCAGCCATGATGGTGAAGTCTTTCCAGTAGCCAATTTTGATGACAAGTCTCTCTCTTTAAGGCTCCCAAAAGGGAGTGATGTGTGGAAGAGTCCATCCCTTCGTATTTTGTTCCCCACTTGATTGATTGATTTCTGGTCCTCTGCTCTTCTTGCTTACCAGTCATAATCTTAACACAGTCCTTGAGTTGTATCAGTAGGTCTTTGTTTGTACTACACCTCTACCTCGATATAACGCTGTCCTCGGGAGCCAAAAAATCTTACCACGTTATAGGTGAAACCGCATTATATCGAACTTGCTTTGATCCACCGGAGTGCGCACCCCTGCCCCCAGCACTGCTTTACCGCGTTATATCCGAATTTGTGTTATATCGGGTCGCGTTATATCAGGGTAGAGGTGTAATTCAGTCTTTCTGTCTTGCTTTTGCACCTTTTCCCATCAACATTTGTTCTGGATAGTGTGACATTCCATGAACTTTCACTCACTTCTCAAGTTGAGCTCACAATTAGGGTAAATTTGTAGACCCATTTATGCCAACCCTAGAGAGCCAGCACAAGCCTATGCACCACATAAGCCCTGTTTTGAGAACTTGAGTGAGTCTTAAATGTTGCATGGATCTTGTGCACTGGGGTGACTTTACCTTTTAAGAATAAAAACTGAAAGACATCTTCAGGGTGGAGAAAAGTAGAAGAAGGATTACAGTTACCAGGGGAGTACTGATCTTATCAAATACAATCATTTTTAATGTTGAAAGCATTTTATTGATTGTTTCCATTCACTACTATGACATAGGAACCAGTTATGTTGGTACTTTGATATCTGATCAACCCTGTTTACATAACCAATCCATTTTTATCAGCACAGGCTGGTGTTGCCAGGGTTTAAGTAGGATTAAGGAGAGAAATGTTCATTCCATGCATAATGATACTACAGAAACACAGTGTGTTGGATATGTCTTTGAAGCTTCACACTTCAAAAATGTGCCTGAGAGGAGTGGAAATATACAGATTCTGTTGTGAAAAATGTGAGTCACAACAGCCATTATCGCATAAAAAAACCCTGCATTTCAGTTATTTGATTCAGTCATTGATGATTTTCCTTTTTAAGTTGTGTGCTTTCAAACTATATTTAGAAACATCTGGGCTGACCCAGGCTATTTGTAGAAATGTTTGTACTTCATAGATTAGAAGAAATTAGACATGATAAAGACCCATTAAATCATTTTGGCCATTTCCTGAATATGTCTGAGTTTGAAGAATAACGATGTTAAGTATATACTTTGAAACATAGCAAGTTTGATAAGTGTAGTGTAAGAATGAAAAACATTTAAACCTTTTTCCAGCACAAAAGTGATGGTAAATAGAAATCTTGATAAGAGATTATAAAAGGAGTAGCAGTAACTGCTGTAATTAAGATTGCATAACCATTTCCATTCTAACACTTTAATTTTAGTCACTTAGAACTTTCTGAAACTTCCATCTTTTGGATTGAAATATTCAAGGCTTGATCTATGTTTGAAGGTCTTTTTTTTTTGTTTTTTGTTTTTTTAAAGAAAGTTTGAGCAAAAATGGTTCAGCCATTTTTGAGCATAAAGAGAACATAGAATTCCTTTCCCATTCCCTTACTCCCTAGGAGTTGCAGATGTCAGTAAGGTATGAAAATAGCCCTCATTAAGGAGAAGTGTCTTAGAGTACTCTGGTGAAAATTAATTTTGATGTGACTGTAACCCACACACCTCCTGCGTGTGGTGTTCTGTCCCATCTAGTGGCGCTGAGACCACTTGGAGAGAGATTAATGAGTTTGCTCTACAGGTTTAGCTAACAGCCAGTTGGCTTTTAGCTCATGCGGTAGAGGCTCATACGCTAAGCTCCAGATGTCCCAGGTTCGATCCCGCCTGCTGACGACCAGGGTCTGTCAGCATTACATGACCACCTTATGACCAATTGAAAGTTGCACGATACCACTTACACAGTAAACTTTCCATACATTCTCGCTACATTTGTGAAGTGTACAGCTAAGGAAGGCTGCACTACACATACATATGCAGCTAGCTCAGCTCTGTCTGCAAAATGCAGTCAAGGTGTATAAGGGCTGACACAGGGTTCGGCAGGAAGCCTTGCCTCATCATTGCATGTCTTGAAAGTGTGCATGGGCTGAGCAACGGAGGTCCTTTACAGCTCTGGAGATAACAGGGGTAGTATATAATCATTTCCCTTCTCCTCTGAGCACAAGTTTGGTTCCATGTTAGAATTGGGCCACTGGGTCTGATTCTCCAATGCATTGCACTAGGGGCTTGATTCTCCCCTCACACCAATCTTGTGCTAGTGTAACTTCAACAGAGTTGCTCTTATCTTCATCAAAGGAAGAATTAAGCTTCTTGTGTAGTAATTTTCATCTGTGCAGCCTGAGTGTAAAAGCTATTACCTGTGTACATGAGTTGGGAATGCTGATTTGGTAGCATTCTACATTCACTTTGCACATCTGTGCATGTGCAAGTCAAGAGAATCCAGCCCACTTAGACTAAATGCTGAATTTGCCCCTCTTAGTTTCTGGGTCCACAAGCCCATGATTTTCAGATGTTTAATTGCAGATGGCATTTGAAGGTTTCTCCAATGAAAATGATGGGCGGGAAATGGATGATCAGAATTTGCTGCCTGACTGTATTGTGTCATGTTTCATGGGTCTCTGCATTGCTTCTCAGAATCTTTTTATCTACTCTGGTGACAAACCATGCCAAAGAAAAGAACATTTTATACTGTACCTCTTGGTTGGTTGATTCATTTGATTATTTTTTGTCTCAGTAACTGCACTGCAGTTCCTTCACCTGATGGGCTCTGGGATGTCTACTTCTGACATAGTTAGTTCAGGGGACAATTGCTCTTCTCTCTGTTGTGCATAGACACTTGAGATCCATTTGGATACAGGTACACACAAACATGTTTACAGAATCACCCTATTCAGGCAAACTTCTGTCCTAAGAAACCACCCCCAAATATTCCCCAAATGTACTGGCTACAGTGCTCCACCTGTATTAGGAGACCACCACTGTTAACCAACCAATTTTTGTCATTCCCTTCAGTGTCACTTAGGACATGTTTCACATTATAAGGACAACAAGAGGATTAGCTGGCCCATATCTGCTGGTGTTATTTATGGGAATGAAAATGCCATTTGCAGTTGTGGTGTTGAGTCAGAGAACAATGAGAGTGTAAGAAAACTCATTTCTGGTTTGTTGAAAGGCTTTTGTAATTTCCTGTTTTTTCATGACAATGGGGATATAAGGAGGGGAACAAGTTGGGGAATTTAAGGGAAGATATAACTGAAGAAGAGTGTGCAGATTATCTGAACCCAAGACCGTATACTAATTCACCTGAACCCTAGCTGTTCAGACCGGCAGCAATGTGAAGTATGTTGTACAGGATAATGCAAGTCATTCACCTATGATATGTCATGATCAATGACAATCTAATGAATTCATCTTAAAACAAAGTCAGAACAGGAAAAACAATAGCTATTTGAAAGACTCCTTTCCTCAAATAAATGGAGTCAATAAATATGCTCTTTGTCATACAGGGTCCAGTTAAAGGTTTGTTTGCTAACAAAAAATGCTGTCATCACAGAGCTTAATAGAAGCAAACTATCAGGACGTATCCAGTTCAAGTAGACAAATAATATTTGAAAGCAGAGAAAAATAATAGTAGCTGAACAAAACACGTGTCCTGCATAAGCAGGCCAAAGCAGTAGTGATTTTATTTGTCACTGAGTTAGATTTTAATTTAGTACCGTAAGTATGGTCTTGCTGCTGTGGGATAAAAAGCCTCGTCATTTCTCATGTAATATGTGTTTTATTGATACATATTAGAGAATGAAGATTACTCTTGCTGGCAAAAAATTCTCAGCCCACCCTTGTGTAGGGGACCAGCTCAAGGCCTCTGTGCCGTTTAGGTCCCACAGAAGACTTCAAAATGGGGCTTCAATGGGATTTAAACGGTGCATAGATATTGTGCAGGCTCTTGACATTGGGATGAATTCACCCCAGTTTTCTTAATAATAATAATGTATTTTTATATTAATTTTAACAGCTATCAGTGTGTCTTTTAGGGAAGATCTGTAAGTCCATTATTCCTCTGGTGTGATTTTGCATTTGCACTTTATTCCTGTAAGTTAATATAGATGCAAGAATTCACAGTTCCAGTCACTTATTTTCCATTCTACCAGGAGTTGGGAATGTTGACGAGGAAGCATACTCAGGGCAAGATGTTTAATCTTGGGTGCCAAAAGTTAGACTTTTAAATAAATCTGTATTTAGATAACTAAATAGTAGTGGGCTGATTTTGAGAGGTGCTGAATTGGAAGTGTTGATTGCTCAGCATGTGTGAAAATCAGACCACTTTTATTAAGGTGTCCAAATATGGATTTAGGTGACTAACTTTATGCTTATCTGAACATTTGTTCCTCCACTTTTCTAGGGTGGTGGGATGTAAAGCAGGAGAAAACTTGTAGCTGTTCAGGGCACTGATATGAATGTGGAAAATGCCCCTTCCTGACCCTGCAAGAAAATAAGTGATGTAAGAAAATATTACAGAAGCTTAAGGTGGAGATTTTCAAATGCCCTTAAGTGACTCAAGATTCTCAATCCCAATGACTTTCAATGAGACTTAAGTGTCTAAGTACATTAAAGCACTTTTGAAAATGGGATTTAGGTGCTTTTCAAAATTCTACCTTCAATCTATAAAATCTATTCAGATTTGATCACTCAGACAACTCCTCATTTGAATTACTTTTCCAATTAGTTTTATTTTCCCTAGTGTTTTATTGGCCACATACAATTGGGCAAAAGGTTACCCGATTATTGCTAACTCATGCATTGTTCTGTTTGCTGGCTTGCCAATTCTGTAGTCACTTACCTTGATCCCTTTTGTTTTAGTTGTTTCCCCTACTTGGAGAAATGACCAGTACAGAAGAAGCAGGATGAAAAGATGGCCGACTTCTTGTTACAACCGGGTTCTAATAGCTTCCACCGGTTCACACTTGAATCCTTGGCTGCTATTGAGAAGCGAATTGCAGAGAAACTTGCAAGGAATGCCAAACAGGAGTACAGAGATCAGCCAGATGATGAGGAAAAGCCTCGGCCTCAGTTTGACTTACAAGCTTGCAAAAAGTTGCCTGGTATCTATGGGACTCTTCCTCCAGAGCTCATTGGGGAACCACTGGAGGATCTCGACCCTTACTACAGTGACCACAAGGTTAGAGCCTTCAGAAGCGTGTGTTATTTTACGTTTGCTTTCTAAGATGGGAGATATTTTATGCGGGGACTCTGGTTTTGTCTTTCCTCGTTCAGTAAAAATGGTTTCTTCTGGTTTAAGGATTGGAGAGCTAATGTGGGCAGAACTTCCTCCAGAGAACTAAACAGAGGGGCATAGTGGAATAAAAGCTTAGCTCAAGTAACATTGAGTATGAATATATATTGTTACGTGAGAACAGAACATTAGATGAGTTAAATGAAATTGTGGTTTCCATCTCTTTGCCTGAAATTCATGCCAGGACCAACGTCCTGTGCATTATTAAGCCTAACTAGGGTGACCAGATAGCAACTGTGGAAAAAATTGGATGGGGGTAGGGGGTAATAGGTGTCTATATAAGAAAAAGTCCCGAAAAATGGGACTGTCCCTTTAAAAATGGAACATCTGGTCACCCTAAGCCTAACCTTAGCCCTTCTTGTTAAGGGTTTATATGGTTCCTCGGGCCTTTTGGGGGCCTTCTGCACAGGAGGGAATATCACCTACATCGCATAAGAGGTGTGTGTGTGTGTATATATGTACAAATCATTCCTGAAGAGTGAAATTAATTTTTCTGCAGAGGGACAGCAAAAGCCGAGGCACCATTTCAGTCCCATTTAAGATGTCAAAATAGGGCTTATGGTGGGATTTAACTGGTGCAGTGTGCTGGCCCTCTGCACTAGGGTGAATTTCATCCTGGAGTGAATATCACCTGGTGAGAATCGTGTGGGCTGGACCAGAGCCACTAGGGTACGAACAGCTCCCTCAAAAGGCTGTTGGCAGCATGACTGTATAACTTGCTTACTACAACTTGCTTTCCTGTACTTCAAACATGTTATAACATGGATGAGAAAATAACACCCACAAACATGCATTCTGAGAACTTTCAATTTTTTGATGTATTCCTCTAGACTATATGTTTCTCCCATAAACCTGTATGTAAAATTACTGTATGTTTCCATGATGTAATCACTGGCATTTTTGTTCATGTGTTGTACAAATTTATATAGACAAAGTAACAAAAGTTAAATAGACACAGAAGTAGATTATTTATCTGAGATGTCTGGAATCAATCTATAATAATCTGTGGCTATTTAAATACAGTGTGCCCAGGCAGAAGCAACAGGACACAGATGTAATATTTTAGTCTTGAAAGCCAGATTCTGGATGGGTGAGTCCCAAAATTGCTTAAAGCTCACATCTGAACTGCCCTGATCTTGTTGCCACCATGTGCAGGTCAGTCTCTCTGTGCACAGTTAGGGCATTTTATTGTCTGCCTAGCTGTTTTCAGTCCCACGCTATGCTGGCAGCAGGAAGGTAGAGCAGCATAAGAGGTTCTGCACTAATTTTCTGCCATCTGAGGATCCCTTTTGCTTGGGGTGACCTTGGGGTGAACCTTTTAGTCCCAGCTACGTTGGCTATAGGGTCAGATAGTGCTGGCAGTGAGGTGCTCATCCTATGTGAGAATTTGGCCAGGAATCTGCACTTGGTGAATGAAAGAAGGAATTAGTGGAGGGTATTATGCAGGAACCAGCTCCTGCATGCAGATGACATACCAACTAGTGCATCCTCAAATGGAAGATCTAGAAGAAATAATAAACCAGTGGTATGACTAGCTAAAATGGCATCAGATGAAAATGAGCATGACTAAGATCGAGGTCATGTGGGTCAGTGGAGTTGCCACTGGGAAACTGGACGTAGAGATTAATGGAGTCAGACTAAACCAGACTGACCAGTTCAAGTACTTCTGTTCATGGGAAGATAGCAAGTTTGAACGTGAGATATAATCGAGATTGGGGAGTGTTGGAAGAGCATAGAATAACATCACCGGGGTTGTGTATGACAAGCCTATGTCACTGAGACTAAAGCCCCAACTGTACAGAACAGTGGTGCACCCCACAATGCTGTATAGTGCAGAAGCATGGGTGGCAAAAAAGACGGCAAGTTTGATGATTAGAGATATTTGAGACGAGATGTCTTTGCACCATAAGAGGAGTTTCACAAAGACATAATTCGAAATGCAAGTATTAGGATGGAAATCAAAGTTGTAATGTGGCTGACAAAATCCAAGAATTGCAACTCTGTGGATTTGGACACATGCAGAGGATGAATGAAGAAGACCTGGTGAAAATATCATGGGAAGAGAGGGTGATAGGAGAGACTCAGAGGAAAGCTGAGGAAGCAATGGATAGACTGTATCAAAGAAGATGGAAAGCAGGCAGTCCTTAGTGCGAGGGCCGGCTCCAGGGTTTTTGCCACCCCAAGCAGCAAAAAACAAACAAACAAAAAAGCCGCGATCTGCGGTAGCTCTACCGCCGCTGCTTCAGTCTTCGGCGGCAATTCGGCAGCTGGTCCTTCGCTCCAAGAGGGAATGAGGGACTTGCCGCCGAAGAGCCGGACGTGCCGCCCCTCTCCGTTGGCCACCCCAAGCACCTGCTTGCTGGGCTGGTGCCTGGAGCCGGCCCTGCTTAGTGCTAAGGATGACCCGACCCCAGCTGATGAGATAAGGGGAAGAAGATAATTATTATGCGTGAGCATATCCATCATAGTTCAGGCAGATCAATTTGTCATCATTAAGAAAACACCCTGAACTGTCCTGGAGCATGTGAGTTTGTTGGGTTGATATGGCTCTCGAGAGCAGGCCATGCTACAGGATGGGATTCTCATGGCCTAGTCCTACAAGGTGCTGAGCATCCTAACTCACCATAACAAGGTAATCAGTTACCACACACTTTGGAATAAATGCAGTGTTTCAAACACCAGTGCATGTGACGCAGGGTTTCACAGGAATCTGCATAGGAAAGGAAGGAATTTACAGCTCAGAGGGAGTTGTGGAGGGAAGTTTGGGGCATTTTTCCTGAGGCGGGCAAAGACTCTGCATTTGGGAAGGTCTTCTGGGGAACTGTCCATTGGGTGAATGGAAATTCACAACTGGAAGGATCTGGGAAGGGAATTAAGGGCACTGGGATGGGAGGGAATCTGCAGTTGGGAACTGGGTGAGAGGACCCTGATGTATAAATGCAAACACTAAATGTTCTCATTTAATTTTCCATTTTGTTTTCCAGACATTTATAGTACTGAACAAAGGGAAGACAATCTTTCGATTTAGTGCCACTCCTGCCTTGTATATACTTAGTCCTTTCCATCCAGTCAGAAGAGCAGCAATTAAAATTTTGGTACATTCATATCCTTTCAGGTGACTTCCCACCTTCTGATGTTATCTGATACAAGCGGATGTGGGTATGAGATTATTTGGTTTTATCAAACTGTTTGAAAGCTGGATATTTGATTTCATTTACTACAGACGTAACTAGAAATGTGTTGGATTTTTTCCTAAATAAGATGTGTAAAATGGCTTTTATGGGAAATACAGAGCTTGTCTTACTCACACAAACAGCCCCATTGACTTAGATGAGACTGCTTGTGTGAATAAAGTTGAGCAAGGTTTGGCCCAGAGTTAGTAAGAGAGGGAGTCAGTGGAGGAAATTTGCTGAGATACATCAGGGGAAGCTAACCAGGATAAATTTCATCTGTCCCCTTCCCCAGTCCGAAGCAAAGTTCACACATCTGATAATTCTCTCCTGGGATGCATGCATACCTCCTTCAGCACTGATCCATCCTCATGGGCTGTACTTGTGGCTGAGTGAATACAAAACTGTGTGGGGCTAACACTACTGCTGGCACTAGACATCCCACAATAGGTGAAGAGAAGGCAGGATCATTGTCTCCTCCCCAAATCTATATTGGCCAGCAAATCATGGAAATAAAGGCACAATGCACTTTCGGAAGGAAAGGTGGGTGCTGTTGCTAGGGATGGTGTGATTGCACCCTTACATATCCCAATGCAGAGTAATCCTTAAAAGGTACGAGCCTGCACTCAGTGATGAATAGTTCTTTAGGTCCTTCCCCATAACCTCCTAGTCATTTCACTGATGACCGGATACAGAATTTAGAACCTCACCCACATAGATATTCAGAATTCGTAGAATGTGAATTACAATACCGCTTAAATGAGGTGAGCTGCTGTAGCCCTGAGGGAGGAGACAAGCATGCATCTGAATTCTTGCAAGTTAAATAATCTAAACAAAGAAAATTGCTCTGCAGTGTTAATGCTGAACAATTTACCAAGGATCATGTTGGATTCTCCATCACTAACAATTTTTTAAATTAAGATTGGATGCTTTTTCTAAAAGATCTGCTTTGGGAATTATTTGGGGCAAGTTCTATGGCTTGTGCTATACAGGAAGTCAGACTAGATGATCACAATGTTCCCTTCTGGTCTTGGAATCTATGAAAATGATTATTTAAAAAATTAAACACTTGTACTCAATAATCCAAGACCCAGCTTGTTAAAAATGTACATCATGGGCCAGATCTTCAGCTGGTGTAAATTAGTGTAGCTCTGTTGAAGTCAAGGGCATACCCCCATCTGAGGCCCTGGCCCAACATCTGTCTATGTAACTGAAAAAAATATGTTAGTATGTCTTAGCAAAAAACAACCGTGTAATGCTCGAGTATTCATTTATGACAATAATTATAAAAAGTATTTTATTTGACACTTTAAAAGTTAAAGATCTGGATAGTATAATATTTTAAAAGTATGGGCCCAGATCCTTTTCTCATTTAAGTCCATGAGAGTTTTGCCATAAACATCATTAGCAACAACACTGGGTCCAATAGTTCGAAGCTTTCTGAGACACAAATGGGATATTTAATCTCTAAGAGTGAAATTTGCCCTTGTGCAGAGAGCCAGCACAAAGTCTGTGCACCACAAAGAGTAGTGTGTAGGCCTTGTGCTGGCATGTTGAGTCTGGGTGAAATTCACCCAGACCAAAATAATTCATTTTAATCAGTTTGAAAGTAAATGGGACTGGATGACATGTGCACTGTACCATCCACTTGAACTGGATCCTCTACTCGGTTCCACCATAACTTCATTTGTATTCCAAATAACACAACTCCCACTCTTCAATCATTTTATGTGGGATGGAAATTTCAATTTTCATTCAGCTCTAGTCCTGAAGAAATTTAACAAATGTACAGTCTTGAAAACATTATAATCCATTTTATCCATCTATCTAGGAGATTGGACTTAGCTGAAACATATACACAGACACCCATTCACCTATGTGGTAAAAGATTCCTCTATTTTGTTTATATGAGCATCTATTATCAATACCACTGCCTTCTGTTTGCTTTATCAGCTTCTCCCAAGGTCTGCACAAAGGTTCCAGTATTGATAGCCATACTGAGAGCTCAGAGAATCCACACATCGCTAAAATGGCTAGATGACATTTTAGTATGAGCCTATTCCGTAGGAGAAGTGTCCATAAATACAAAAGAGTAATAACAGGCATTAAGGAGATATCACAGAATTATTGATTTATTATCAAATTCAGCAAATTCCCTTTAAATGGATACATTATCCAGTGGAAGAATTAGTTCATGCTCTTAAGTCTATGTTGCTCTCAGAGAAAATAAATGTGAAGGTTCAGATGACAATAGTTCAACTTAAAAATGAACATATAATACCATCCAAGACATTCCCAAAATTACTAAGAACCATGGGGTTGTGCAGAGACATTTCATTATGGCTCAAGCTTCACTTGAGAACAGTTCAACACTTGCTGCTGGAAACTGGGGCATGGCTACATTACAACAGGTACATTAGTGCAACTTCGCTGAAGTCAGTCAAGATCAGTGGAATTGCATTGGTCTGAGAGAAGAATTTGGTAACTACAATCTGTTAACAGAAAGCATAAATGCACAACTCTCAGTTATAGGTCTGGGTACCCATTCTGCACTCTCACAAAACCATGCAACCCCAAGTGAAACCAATAGAGATTGTGTATGTATTGCAGAGGGCAGAAATATGCCCCTGGTCAGAAGTTGCCTGAAGTGGTGGTGACTCAAATGATCAGAATGCAGGAAGCGCCTGTCTCAGTACCTTCAAGAGTCAAAGCAATGAGAGCCTGGGGTGTACACTTCAGAGACATATCAGAACAAGAAATATGGTCAGAACAGGAGCATGATTTTTTGGGAGTGAAAGGCCATAAAGCTAACAACATTTTAGTTCCAGAAACACCTCATTTGCACCTTAGTAATAGCTGTCTCATACATCAACAAGCGGAAGGAAGGAAGGAAGACATCCAGTCTCACTAGGATGGCAGTAGAGTTCCTACGTTAGGCGGCACACCGTTTTCAGTCGATAAATGCTATTCACATCAAGAGAACTCAAAATACAAAGGGCAACTGGCTGAACAGGAAGTCAATATTCCAAGCAGAATGGAGCCTCAATTGGCAAGTAATCGAGCAGATACTATCATTGACATGAACTCAGGAGCTGGATCTCTTGCCTTGCATGAGAGTATTAAGCAACCATTTTTCCTGTAAGGGGAAAACCAGAAGTGTTAGCAAATGTGGTGCACTGTCACAACAAAAGTGTCTGAAGCAACTTGTTTAGTACATACCATCTCTCCCATTTCCAATTATTGAACATATAGTGCAAGTGGAAGAGAATGGCACAGGAGGCTGAAGGAAGAATCCTCTTCCAAACAGGATGAGGAGCCCAAGGTTCTTGGATGAAGCAGATTTATCTACAGCTCCTCCTCTGGGATTTCCATAGAGAGAGGACCTAATTTTTCAGGGACCTATACAACCTCGCTAGTCCAATTTATCTTTGACAATCTGGCTATTTAGAAAGATGTTCTACTAGGAAAAAAAATCCATAGGATTTGATAACACTTTGTTAATTGAAGTAATTTGCATTATTAATGTGGTTTAGGGCTGTTTTTTTTTTTAATCTTCTCATCCATGTAATGCATTCAGATTCAAATCCATTATTTGATGCGGCCATATTCTTGAGAACATCAGGCTTATGTACATTCTCAAAAGGTAGGAATATATTTCAAATGCCATTTGGAGGAAGAGGTTGTCTTTGGGGTGAGGTGGGCCTACTCCAGGGGCCCTTCTTCCCATATCAGGATTAGTCTGCAAGGAGATGGAGCTGTCTTCTTCTCTTCCTCCTTCTATAAGAGTGGTGTTGGGGAGGAAGGACCAGCTTCCACTTCCAAACTAGTGGCACTGAGGCTAGATCATATCTTGAAGGGAGACAAGTCTGGCCTCACTCCTAAATGAGGGACACCAAAGTCATCTCTAATGTGTGTGGGGAGATAAAAGGGCCATTTCTGCTTTTAAATGATACATCAGTTCCCAGCTCCTGTCATGATACAAGATATTGTGGCAGTGCATTTTTTTCCCATCAGGACAGGCAGGGGAGGTGCACATAGATAGTGCCCCTCATCACTTTTCTTGCTGGTGCCAACTTTCTCCCAGTTAGTACCAGTCTCCTGTCACTACTCTTGTTGGAAGTCAGTAATGTTGGAGATTATTGCCCTCCTGAGTAGACAGTTTCCACTCTCACAAGCTCAAGACTGAATCTTGTTTGTCCTCATCCATGGGCAGCTCTATTTTTTTGAGGAAATTCTGCATTAGGTCAGGGGACAGGAAACATGTCTCTGGCAAATATATAAGGCCATTTGAACCTGTTCAGCAATTTGGAATGTTATAATAGGTCCCAAGAGAAGACAGATTCATGGGAAGAGGACAGTTCAAAGGGGCACAATAAATTCAGTTCTCTAAAAACACCATGCACCTGTATTCTTATTTTGTGCTAGCTTACTAGTATGATACCAGTGGAACTCTCACAGCTCATAGAACTTTGACCCTGGAGGGACGTGGTAATGGGGTAGAACACAAGCCACATCCCCTAATGTCCATTGTGCGCCATCCCTCGGTGGGTATAAATTCCAGTATTGCAGATAACTTCCTGATTGTTGTAGCTTCTGGGTAACTCTAGCTTTTCAGATCTACTGTATCCTTTTCAATACTTACCCCTTCCCTTCAGTTCAGTGGGTTGCTTGAATTGTTAGGCCCTGGCCCTGGCATATGTGTTGATGGTTCTGGCATTTGGTCTAGGGAATCTCACCACTTCGGCAGTCAGCTGTAGTGGCCTTGGCTCCCATTCTTGGTGACAGATGCCTACCTTTGATACTTTCTCCAGGTGATTTCAAATCGATATATGCAGAGAGAGAGATTGGTTTGCCTTTTGGGTTCTGCCCGTGACAGTAAAAGGGTGGGTAGCTGAGAAGTGAAGTTTGAGTTCAGATCCAGAGCTCAAGGACT